ATCACGCATCACACTTGACTACAAGTCTAACATTCTTTAGGTACAACCACAGCACCTGAGGATGTTCTGACAACTTTCCCCTACTACCAAAATTACGTCGATCTCTCCCGCTTGGAATGTTCTACCATAGAAGCGTTCCTCCCCAGCCCACCGTCCAAGATCGCTTTTATCGGCTCCGGCCCATTACCTCTGACCTCCCTCTGTTTCCTGGACCGCTATCCTAACGCGCAAGTGCATAACGTGGATCGCGATGCCTCCGCGCTTCAAGTCAGTGAATCGTTATGTAAGCGGTTAGGCTATGGCGAGCGCATGAGTTTCGCTTGTGAAGACATTACCGAGGATTCGTCAAACGCCGAATGGCAATCATGCCAGGTCGTCTTCCTTGCTGCGCTGGTTGGTACAGATACGTACACGAAGCTCAACATACTCAGAAGCATGGTTAAGAAGCTGGTCCCAGGTACATTGGTGGTGGCGAGGAGCGCGCAGGGGATGCGAAGTGTGTTGTATCCGGTATGTTCGCACCGACTTCCAGCGCAGTCATGTCAGACAGTAGTCATTAATGAAAACACAGATACTGGAACTGTCAGAAGAACTCCAATCCATCGGTCTCGAGATTCTTGCCGAAGTACATCCGTGGACTAAAGTCGTTAATTCGGTCATCGTTCTACGCGTGAAATGAACAGGAAAGTGGTTCATTGGTACAAGCCGGTTTGAGGTGCATATATGCTAGGTTTAGCAGCTCACATAGTGTATTTGCATAGTTGGCGGCGTATGCGGCACTTCCCACAACGATATGATGAATCGAAACGAAAGGGAAATTCACGAACGGTGTATCGCACGACTGGCCTAAATCTCCTCGATATGTTTACTTGCGCATGACAATCTCAACATGGTGGCGCTAGCTGTTGATTTCAATGTATGCGAATGGCGCTGGCACTATCTCTCTACAATGACCGCGTTCTCCTTTCGGTACTTGGTACGAATAGCATATCATCATCATCAAGTTCATTTGCAAAGCCAAAGTTTAACTGTGACAGTAATTTATTGTGAGACTATTTCACACCAAAAGCGACGGCATATGGTAAAGAGACTTGGTGTTAATACATATAAATATCTTCGCTTCATCGTGAACCAATTGCGCCATACATATTACCGCCGTTTCATAAGAAAAAGTACCTGGGTATCCAACTATCGAGTGGCTCAGCCTCTTTCACACTGGCCTAGACTAAAGACGCAAACGAAATCCTGATTTTCGGCCGTTAAAGACATTCTCATTACCGAGACCGGCGCGGTCCTTCCCCATTCTCCAAGTGTGGACTTGCCCAGTCGATTTCATGGTTATACATCTTGGGGCTCCCGCCGCTCTTGGAGTTGGAACTACTCCCTGCCTCTCCGACATCATTGGTCACCGTGACTTGTACGTCTGTACTCTTCATAATACCAGAGCCTTTTTGATCGTCATCAAGGATGGCCCGATCGCTCTCGTCGTCGCCATCAAGGATGCTTTCGCCGGGTAGCCTAGAGTGATAGGCTTTGCTGCCTTGGAAGTTCTTCATGTGGATGCTGTTTCCTTGTGCGACGCTAGAGTTCCCGTAGCCGTAGTGTGGCGTTTTGCCCGAGCCTGTCAATGTCGATGGCATAAACTTCTTGAAAAGGTGATCGAATGCTTTGCGGAGCGGAGGGAGGGATGCGATGAGGATGCCGATAGAAAGTTCGGAGCTGGACCATATGGTGAGGTTTACGCCGTCCCACGTTGGATCTTGCGTCTTGGTGATGGCCTTGAGTTCGATAGTCTTGAAGATTGAGCATATCGTGGCACTATAAACGTCAGTGGCGGCTCACTCACATGGACTACAGAGGTGTTACTTACGGGATACTCAGCAGGAAAACGATCCTGATACCCAGTTGAGTTCGACTGTTCAACTGGACGCGCGAAAGGTAGATCAGAGGCGCAGCCATATACACTACGTCGGTGATGATGTTGCTGATACCCTGGGTATAGGATAGTGCGAGTGTGCCCTTTGCCCAGCAATGGCTCTCCCCGGTAAACCCGAAGTTCCAGTTCCGTTCCAGGGGTGTGCATCCGAATAGCGTCAGGACTGGTGCAAGGAAGTTGAACGCGGTGACCATCAAGATCGAGAGCCAAACAATAACTTGGTACAATCTGGAGAAGTTCAAGACAAGCAGCCAAGCGCAAATGGACCATTTCAGAAAGGCGACGGCAATGATGTCTGAAAATCATTCATTAGCAATAGAAAGGCGGGAACGCGAAGTTGCAAACTTACTGACGATCTGTGTGATCCAAAGGTGATAGCTGTATGCTCTGAGATTCGGAAAGACCGTCGGGTCCATGATGTGGCGCCCGAGGCCATTGTTGACGACGACCTGGTTCAGTGATGTCGCTGTGATGTTCAGAGCCTGATGGACTCGTGTCAGCGACGAATTCCACACAGTCGGGACGATCTTCGGGCTGGGGGAAGACTCACAGTGGCTATGATCAACAGGTAATCACAGGCAATGAATTTGCGTGATCGCAGTCCGTACACGACTCTCCATACCAAGAAAGCGGTACTAATCACCGTTAAGGTCCAAACTGGGATGAGGATCTTCAAGCGTTGGTCCGGCCATTCTTGTGTACCTGCGTCCATGATGCACTGCAGCGGGGTCGTTCGAGGTGCGGGCGGAATGGCATGGATCGCAAAAGTCACAATCGGTGAACAAGAGGAAAAAGCAAACAGCCACTCAATGATCGGGAGTGCCCCGGGGTTTTCAAGTATATTCCTTCGCGCCACTCATCTCTTGCGTCGGCCGTTCTGGTTCAAGACGGGCGAAGCGAAAGCTAAACAGCACGGTCGCGGGTGACGGGAGAAGGCCGCCAGATCGATCACAGAAGGTGCACTCGCTCGAGACCAACTTTCGAAACAATCCAACACGGGGATATCCAGCTGTACATCCTAGGGTGACGGCCGCCGAGCTGATCTGGCAGTGATGCCGCATAAATTGAGGCCCCACATGCTGCGTATTTAACCCTTTATCACCCAATGAGAACGGCATCTAGGGTGGGCGGGAAACCATGATTCAAGCGTACACTTTAGAAGTACAACCGAACAGGTCACACCATGTAGAGTTGCGATTGTGGCTATGTGTGCGCATGAGAACTTTTGCATAGGACGACGCATCTTGTAGATCTTGTTGCAGATCTCAGGCCCGCCTACCATGGTCGCAACGCTGGTGGAACACTGGAAGGGTGCATTAAACCGACGGTCAGAGAGCGAACGTGCGATCTTGCATCGTCTCACGGTGCTCGGGGTTGCCGCATGGACGTTGCGCAATCTTTCGTCTATCGCCCCATGAGATGGGAATGGTGGAAGAGGTGGTAGCGAGTGCAAGGCCAAACAGCGCTAGAGGTGCTAGTGCGGTTAGCGCATGAGCTAAATGCAGGGCGAATTCTCCGCATGCTCAAACTCACCGGTAGAGCGAACCGAAGCCACCTTTCACGGCACTAGCTGCCCAAGATCTTCTTCTCTTTCTAGCGCTCTACCTAGTGACAGAAAGAACATTCCATTATGTGCGCTGCGACATTCTCTATCGTCGACCTGCAAAGTGTCGCAATGTCATGTCAACGTGCGGCTGAGCCCAAAGAGAAGATACTTCACACTCCTTCCTCGGGCTCTCCTCGTTGGCCCGCATGTGTGGGCCGATGCACAGCAGCAATCGGGCCTAAGACTCAGTCTACAGGGAAGAACGCAGAATATTGAGCTGAAGGGGGCCGGGTCTTCACTACTCCGCGGGCCGCCTGACTCAGTATCCTGACGCAGCTCCAGCCGTGCAGAGGGGAGTCCATGGTGCGCCCATGAGAATATGCCTTTCCGATATTCATGTTGCATCTGAGTTTCGACTACGACAACGTGGACATCGCCGCGCTGGCATTCCTCACCGTGGACGAAGACACCATAAAGCTATCGATACGGCAGAAGAGAAGGCAATGATAGGCGGATCGGAAGCTTAGCGGTATGTTTCCTGCAAGCGAGGTGGCCATCGATCCCGAATCGCGTCCACTCTCCGAAATCATGGTACCTGGTTCCCCGAGATGGTCTCAGATGGCGAATCAAGGATCGAGGTCTCCTGGTGGCCTTATTACGCTGCATATCCCGCAACAATGTACCTGCCGTGTTCCAGAGGAGCGGCATCCTTTGCTGCAGTCCTTTGCAAAATCTCCGAAGCCATAATGCGTTCTTAGAAAGTGCCGACCCCAGATTTTTAACATGTACGCCGCTGCCGTTACCAGAGCTGTAGCTTGAACTCAATCACATGCTGGTCTGGGGCCGAGGACATCTGTCCATGTCTTGTCTCCCGTCCAAAAGTGGGGCCTACATCCGGCAAGAACACCCTGAATCGCTAACTCGGTCCTTCTGTACGATGCGCTCTCTACGACGAGCCGCAGAGATTTTCATTGGCCCACATCAACATCAGACCACTGGATGTACCTCGCTTCCATGTTCACTGCTGCTGCGGCTGGCCGGTCATGAGCCTGATCTCTCTGGTGGAAGAACGTTTAGCACCCCGGCCCCGGACCGCAACGGAGCCCACAAGTCCCTGATGTTCACCGGGAGTCAGGGAGTTGTAATTGCACGATCCCTATGCGGCCTGTTTATAGGCTCAGATTACTGAACCCCTACCAGAAGGATCAACGTCCGTATTCTAGAACGAATCTGTACATGGCAACCGCCAGCGCCGCGCCACGGCATACAAACAATTTACCAGACTATCGTTCGCCCTCGCGGTATTAGTGGGTCGATCAATTCCTGGATGAATTCGGTAAGATAACACCGCAATGTAGGCCTTCCCACGTGGCGAACATGTTCTCGACCAATGCGAGCAGCGAGTAAGTACTTTGTTCGGTCCGTATAAAGCATCTAGTGGCTGCACACCCTCACAGGTTCATTGCAGCGCGCATCCAAATTTACTTTCGTTTAAACTTAATATTTTGGACTTTCAAGATGCCTGTATTCTCTAGGTTAGCCGCTGCTGTTCAGCTCTTTGCTGTAATCCTGTCGCCAGTTCTTGGTGCCGCCGCTAAGCCCGAGTATGACTATGTCATTGTCGGAGGCGGTGTCACTGGATTGATTGTTGCCAACCGCATCACCGAGGACAAGAGCAGTATGTGTTTCAGCCCCAGACTTTGTCGAAAACTTCACTAACATCAGCCCCAGAGACTGTCCTTGTCGTTGAAGCGGGTGACAACGTCGATACCGATGCAACCAAGATCCCATACAAGGCCAATGACTTGACCTCTGCGGCTGGTTTGATCTGGGAGAACATCAACTCCCTACCTGAGCCAGCTATCGGCAACACATCGTACCAGGTTGTTGTTGCCAAGGTCCTCGGTGGTGGATCTGTCATCAATGGCATGGTCTACGACCGCGGCTCAGCTGCCGACTACGATGCGTGGGAGGCTCTCGGCAACAAAGGATGGGGTTGGAAGGGAATGGAAGAGGCCTTCATCAAGGGTACCACTTTCCAACCTCCCACTCCCGATGTTGTCAAAGACTTCAACATCACTTGGGATGAGTCGACTTACGGTAACGGACCGTTGACCGTCTCCATCACATCCAACCAATATGAGGATATCAAGGACTACTGGGCGGCGTGGAAGGCCACTGGTATCTACGTCCCAGAGGATGGAAACGCCGGCGAAGCCTATGGTCCTTCTTGGTACGCCAACACCATGGATGCGACCACTGGACGCCGCGCACATGCTCGCTACGCGTACTACGACCCCATTCAGACTCGTGCCAACCTCCACATCCTCACAGGCACCACCGCCGACAAGATCATCTTCGACAACAAGAAGAAGCCGCTCATGGCTACTGGTGTCGAGGTTACCGACAAGACTGGGAAGACTTCCACCTTCTACGCTAAGAAAGAGGTCGTTCTGGCTGCGGGCGCTATTCAGACACCTAAGCTCCTTCAGCTCAGTGGTATTGGCCCCAAGTCCGTCCTGAAGGCTGCCGGTATCGACGTCAAGGTTGAGCTCGATGCTGTAGGCTCCAACTTCCAGGACCACCCCTACGCCACCGTTGTCTTCAACACCACTTCCAACTACTTCCCCAACCAGAACTCGCTGATGACCAACGCGACATTCAACGCTTCCGCTTGGGAGCAGTACGTTGAGCACAAGACTGGCCCTTACACCTATGCCCGCGGTAACGCCCTGGCTTTCATCTCCCTGCCTGACATTACCAAGGACTTCAAGTCTCTTATCAGCACCCTTAACAGCCAGACCGCCACCGACTACCTTCCTAGCGTCTACAAGAACAGCAAGAAGCTCGCCAAGGGCTTTGCTAAGCAGCGTGCAGTCATTGCTGACATCTTCGGCCGCAAGGATGCAGCCGTGGCCGAGTTCCCCGTTCCCGCGGACGGCTCATACGGTCTTGTCGGTGTCGAGAAGCCCCTATCTCGTGGTACAGTCTACATCGACGCAAAGAACCCCAACGGCCCTCCCAACGTCGTCTACAACGCCTTTGTCAACCCCATCGACCGTATGGTCATGGCGGCTGGTATGCGATTCTTCCGCACCGTGTGGGCCCGCCCCGAGCTCGCCAGCCACAAGATATCCGAGACCGTCCCTGGTGCTCAATACACCTCCGACAAGGAGATTTACGATGCCCTGCTTGCCCAGTCGATGTTGTCCCCTACTCTCGCTCACCCATCTGGCTCTTGCCCGATGATGCCCGAGAAGGACGGTGGCTGTGTCAGCGACAAGTTGATGGTTTACGGCACACAACATCTGTCTATCATTGACGCTTCTATCATCCCTATCATCCCGTCTTGCCATCTCCAGGCCACCATGTACGGTATTGGTGAGAAGGCTGCTGAGATTATCAAGTCCAGGTAGAGCGTGGTGATGATTCAAACTCCATTCTTGTATATACTTAGTTACTTTAATGTATCCAGCGACTACATAAGCTATAAGCGCGTGTAAACGTTGCATTGTTCAAAATTGCTTTGAGGACTACATTCCTCCGCTCACCTTCTTTTGATTCCCCCAAACTCAGTGAATACCTCCAGGCCACACTAAGGTCCTGATGCACGGGCTAGATGATACTAAAGGACTTAATGAGTTGATGTGCTTGAGTCGACGCGCGACTGTCTGCGAACAAGCTTCCGCTCGTTGAACGCGTAAGTGGGTCGGCCCCACTAGTGCCCCTCCATCCCACGGTTGCGTCACTACATTCCCAAAAGTTCAGGCTGCGCATAACTACGCGCGACAGCTACATTACCTCCGCCGCAATCACAACTTCCAGTTTCAAATCTACGTATACGTCGGGATACACTATAATGAAGCTACTCAAGAGCCAAATCGAACAGAAAACGGGCGCGGGGTTCGTCACCCTGCTGCCTGAGGAGCCTGAGGATATGGTACGCGCGCCACAATTATACGCATGCGCGTCCCTCCAGGCTCGAATATACTAATATCGTATCCAGTGGCACGCCTACAACCTAATCCAAGAACACGACCAAATACGCGCCAAGGCAGTTCGTCGAGTTTCGAAGACATCTGACGCCGGCTCAACGTCCTCGCAACGAATCGCTCTAGACCTCACGATCGCAGTAACCTCGACCGATTTCGATATTGGCTCCGGACAACTCCATGTGTCTGGTCGCGTAGCAAAAGAGAATGAGCACGTAAAGTTAGGGCAACATCACACATTGGATTTGGAGCTAAATCGCAAATTTACCATCGAAAAAGCCGACGGTTGGGATAGTGTCGCGTTGGAACAACTGAAGGAGGCATGCGACGCATCAAAACGAGCAGAACTGTGGGCTGTTGTACTAGGAGAGGGTACCGCGAACATATGCATGATCACTGAGCATCAGACGATACTACGACAGAAAATTGAGGTCTCCGTACCCAGAAAGAGGAGAGGTGGCGTAGACGGGCACAGCAAAGGCATGGACAGGTTCTTCTCGACAACGCTTTCGACGCTACTACGGCAAATCGACCTACCGAACGCCCCCAGCACACCCCAAGGCAAGACCCTCCCGCTCCTCCTCGCCAGTCCAGGCTTCGTCGCGTCGGCGTTTCTACAGTACATCAAGGAGGAAGCGACACGGACCACCAACAAGCCGCTCATGGCCCTCATACCCACGATAATCATCGCGCATTCCTCATCGGCGCACGTACACTCACTTAATGAGGTGCTCTCGTCGCCGGCGATAACGAATAAGCTGTCCGACACGAAATTCGCGCGCGAAACGGCATTGATGGACAAGTTCAACACGCTCATGCGACAAGATGACGGCCGGGCGTGGTACGGCCCGCGCGAGGTGGAGCGCGCCGTCGCCAAAGGCGCAGTTGGGCGCGGTGGTGGAGTGCTAATGATCAACAACGCCCTGTTTCGCGCGCAAGATGTGAAAGAGAGGAGACGATGGGTGAAGCTAGTCGACCAAGTGCGGGATGTGGAGGGTGGCGAAGTCAGGGTGCTCAGCTCATTACACGAGAGCGGGAAGCGACTAGAGGGCCTTGGAAACGTTGCGGCCATTCTCACCTATCCCCTGGAAGACCTGGATGAGGATGACGGGGAGGACACAGGCGGTGTTGATGGCGAAGACGGCGAAATGATAATATAGGCTGGAGGATACATGGTCTGCCGGAGTTCGACTTGCACTCCGGATATTTCGCGAATACCTCCAGGCTCTACCCAGATACGACGACACAATATACCCATCATGATTACGTTCGCATGTACCGGTGCTCTGGCAAGTGATGTTCGTGGACACACAAGGCGGTAAGATTGCCATGGTCCCTGCACTGTCCATGAAACCAAGCCTTGCTCTACGCTGATCCAGCCCCCTCTAGCGCACCCTCCTGGCAAAAAGAGAGCCGCCCTTTTGCTGTCGTGGTCGTCTGCTACCGCTGTGGTTCGAACAGGCCGGAGTTTGGATGTTCAGATCTCACAGAAATTACCAAAAAAAATGGTAGCTTCTCTTTGATTGAGCGTGTCATCCTTAGTGCAGGGGCCATGCTAATCTTCTCTGTATCGTTTCAAATTGACCAAATGCCCGAAGGCGAAGAGAAGTCCATTTTGTGATCCTATATAGTCGCGCGTTGCTGAAAGGTCGCGTTTGGGCGAGTTTGGACATGGGACGGTAAAGTGGCGGGAACTGGCTCGTGCGCGATCCGCAAAACGTGGAACGTGTGTTCAGGGGTCTCTAGGCTGCGATCGGACACGTGCAGTGACGTCGGCTGGAATTTCATAATGTCGGAATGCATACATGCAAAAGGCGTGTTCTTTACCATACATCCGAAACACGGTTTTTGAAGATGTGCAGCACAAGTTAGCCACTACCGCTAGTTACACAGATACCGTACGCGCCAATCGAGGTTGCACGATACCAGAGGGCATAATGAAGGTAGCTTCGCTGCTTCTCGGAGGCAATCAAGATCACAGAACGACAAGCATGCGGAGCTGTCGCCCTGGTCGCTCAAATGTGGGCCTTGGACTCTCATCGAGACAGGTGAAGGTGGAGCTACAAGGTGAGAGACAACAAAATGCGCGAGCCGTAGGCATCTCCGCTCACATAAGTAGATGACTGAACAACGAGATTTAGCCCTCTCTTCCTCTTTCCTCACAACCTGCCAAGAACAGTAACACTACGTGCGACATGGAGTCCCAAGACCGATCACCCATGTACGTCAGCGACCGCGGAAACGAATACAGCCAGCCTGCTTCTGCATCTCAGCAGCCGCGCGCCGATGAGTTGCCCGGCCCCATACTCTTCTACGGTGCCCAGGACGTCTACGGGCAACTCAGCAACATGTATATAAGCAGCTTTAAGAATTCGATCTTTACCTACGGTCCCCCGAAGTACAGGGAATACTGCTGCGTGGAGCAGTTTTTCCAGCATGCTAAGGCGCTTTGGGCGATGGACACTGTAAGTTTAAGCAGCGGTGAGGAAACCAGAATCTAACACTTAACAGGGATCCGGCGACGCGATCATGAGAACATCCGACCCGAAAAGGCACAAAGCACTGGGGAAAAAGGTTAAGAACCTAGATGTTAAAGAGTGGAACGAAAGTATGATGACGTCCTCGTGTCACAACGAAGAAATCGCTAATCTAAAGCTGCAGTGTCATACAAGGTCATGTTGAAGGCAGTTGGCTTGAAGTTCACCGTCTCAGAGTCGTCTGATGCTCTCCGCGCAGTCCTCCTCGCAACCTCTGATCGCGAGATCGTCGAGGCATCAAGGGACATGACTTGGAGTTGCGGCTTGACGCTCGAGGAGGCGAAAAAGCACAAGGGCCGCTGGCCTGGCAAGAATCTTCTCGGCAAGGCGCTTATGGAAATTCGTCAAGAATTAGTGGACGAAAAGGAACGCCAGACTCGTGGTTTCGCTCCGCCAAACGATGCAGTCGCGGGAGGTGAGTTATGTCTTTGCGCATCCTTGTGGTGTACGATCTCTGGAAGAACTGACGTGCGCGCAGGACAAAGCGAAGAAACTCGACATGATGACGCCCTAGAGAATGACATGAACCTTCTGCGACTCAAGCGGAGGGCAGATCCAGTGTACCTGCGGCAAAACGAAGAAAGGCCAGACAAGAGGGTGAAGCGACAGTAAGTCATCGCGCAAACTGGTTCCTGTACATACGCATACTGATTTGGCCCAAAGGCATTCCGACTCCAAGGCGACACAGACCGAATCGCCTACCAATACTGGAGAAATCGCCGATGGAGGACTGCCTGAAGTGTGGTGGTTTCCCAAGCCAGCACTTACAAAGCGGTAAAGTCGTGGAGGATAGCGGAACAGGTGTACGGATAGTCCGCAGGACTCTCACCGAACGAGCGTGGTACAAAAGTTCGAGGTCATTGAGTCAGGTAGCCGGATTCGTTTCATGGTTGTGCGCTGGACAGAAAGCTTTCGTATAAGCCGGCTATACTACAGGGGCGTATCTGTGAGCAATTCTGTAGAGAATACATCATATTGCCTACTACATGAGCTTTGCTCGACCCTTTCCATCAAAGACTATCGGTGCTGTATACCCCAACGAGTACGTGCGTGATGAGGGCATCTTACTCCGGCTTTTGCGACAGCAACGGAGAGCGCGACCCAAATAACACGCCTGCCTGCCCCCACCGTTTTTCATGGTCGCAGATGTAAGACCAGCCGTGGTTGCACAAGTCTCACGGATGGACTTTTACAAGCCAACAGCAAAGCAACTGGCGATAACACTCAGAGTACAAATTATGTAAGATGCATTTATGCTAGGATATGTATGTATCATTCCAAAAGAAGAAAGAGAAAGAGAAGAAGAAGAAGAAGAAGCGTCAAGCGACGAACGATATCATCATGGTCGTAACCAACAAAAAGAGAAAACACCGATCCCCCGACCATCCATAAAATGCAGAAACAACAAGCAGAAAAAGAAAAAGGTATAACACGGTTACCCCATCTTTCACCATCAAACACCGCCGTTGCATGCATGCCGTTACTCATCCCGATAGAACTTCTTGAAGATCAAATGCAAAAACAGATTAACGTTGACTCTGGCGACACCGTCGCCGGCAGCCGCGCCACCCCGAGCACCTTCGCCGAAGAGATTCATAAATTGGTGGTTGTCGAATTGCGCTTGGAGGAGGCCGTCCAGAGGCACCTCGGCGAATGCACCGGGAATCATCATGGAACCTTGAGAACCTTGGATCTCGAAGATACCTGTTTGGTTGCTGGAGATGGTGATGTCCATGCGGTCCCATTGTCGCTCGTGGTATCCAGACCAGGAGATTAGAATGCCCTTCTCGGCCAGGTTGCGGGCGGAGTATTTGAAGGAACCGAAGCGGTACTCGCGACCGCTGTTCTTGAGTTCACGCTGGTGGTTGTATTGGCGGGTGAAGGGGAGGAGGAACTTCTTCTTGCCCTTCTTCGATTGCAGCGTTACCATGGCTTGTTCAATGTAGTCGTTGTAGGACTTGAGTTGCGACTCTAGGAAATGTGCCTTTTCGTCGAGTGCGGCCAGTGTAGTGCGTACTCCCTCCAATTCCTTGGCGCGTTGAATACGTCTTCGGTGCTTGGTGCGGATGTCGACGGCGATGGCGTTGAGTAGGTCTTGGTAGTTGTTGGTGTGCGAGATGCGGCCTGCGCGTTGGAGTTGTACCATGTTCTCCAGACAGTATTGCTTGAGAGTGGGGTAGTCAAGATCAAGTACAGAGTTGGAGCCCATATCCTGCGTGTAAGTTGAGGCGGCAGAGGATCGGACTACGTTGCTCTGTTTCCGCGAACGATCTTTCCGCTGCGCGATGATCTCTTCGCGGACGAGAGCGTCCCAGCGGTTCTCGTCATCAGGTGTAACCGGCTTGCACATGATCTCGGTGAGGTTGGCACCGGTTTGGATGCGGATGATGTACAGCACGTAGCGCTTGGTCTCCATGAAGAGGGATTTGATTGCAGAGTCGGGGTCTAGAAAAGTCAGTAAGTGGGAACTGCAAGTGGAGGAAGAACTTACCCTCTTGCTCATGGTACTTGGGGTTCAGGGTCAATGTGATTTCGCTGGAGCTGACGTGCAGAAGCTCGTTCTCGTTGTTCTTGGCGCTACCGAGCTCACGGACAATCTCACGGAGTGGATCGTCTTGAGAGGGGCATAAACTTGGTAGATCTTCGATGACGAGGTTGTGAATGGCGAAGACGTCTGCGAGCTTGATGTAGAGTGTTGGCTTGGTTCTTGCAAACAAATCGTTGAACTCGTCAATCTCGAACTGAGCTTCGGCGGCACGGACGTTGATCATGTTCGACCAGATGTCTTGTAGGCGATCGATGGCTTCGGTGATGTAGCTGTTAAGAGGCTGCAGGTAAAGATCGTCTCCACCAAACAGCTTCCCGCCGGCGATCTGACTGAGGACCTTGGCAACGGCTCCAAGGTTTCTGTTCATCACTGGCGACAGGCCACGATCCACCACACCCCAGTGCTGAGGTTGCAATAGAGCAGGCTGAATGTAAGCCTTCCATACCCAGTAGCCGGTGATTTGTAGAAGCTGCTCTTGCGCCTCGTAGGGGAACTTCAAGCGTAGTTCTTCGAACATCTGCTGTGCGATATATCTCACACCATATGGCATCCGGTGGAGTACCTCTTCGAACATCGTAAAGTACTGGTCAGCAACATCGCGAAGATCTTGCAGGTTGTGAATGAAAGTACCACGTGTCTCGGGGTCCTTGAGTGCTACATCTCGCGAGACATTCGGATCGCGACGACTACTTTGGCCAGTACGGAGCTCCTCGTTGTTGATGGCGGAACGATAGATTTGCATCGGGTCGCTCTCCAGGTCCAGGTGCTCATTCTCAATGATATTCTCACGAATGACAGTTCCAAGAACATCTTTGAGGAACTTTCGGTCGCGCGGTGACCGGACGTAGTTGGCGAACAATTTGGACCAGAAGAAGTTGCCACGAAGGTACTCATGGAGGTTCGCACAGCCCTCAATCTCCTCCTTTAGCGATCTTGTGAGCAGCTTCAACAGCCAATACTCTTCTCTGCGTTTCTGGGCCAAACCAAACATACTCATGGTCAGCTGCTCGATGCGCTTGATGTCACCCTCCGCGAGATTTTGTTCACGAACGCGCCTGAAGAGTCTCGCCATGTA